ATCGATAGTTGAATCTCAGATGTAGAAGGAGCAATGTGGTTTTTGTCCTGGCCGTGGAACTGTGGATCAGCTCTATACCCTTGCAAGGGTGATGGAGGGGGCACGGGACTTTGCCCAACCAATCCACATGTGTTTTATGGATTTGGAGAAGGCTTATGCCCGTGTCCCCAGGGGCACCCTGTGGGGGACGCTCCAGGAGTATGGGGTGGGTGGCTTTCTGCTAAGGGCCATTCAGTCCCTTTACCAGAGGAGCGTGAGTTTGGTCCGCATAGCCGGTAGTAAGTCGGACCTGTTCCGGGTGAGGGTTGGACTCCGCCAGGGCTGCCCTTTGTCAACGGTTCTGTTCATTACCTTTATGGACAGAATTTCTAGGCGCAGCCGTGGTGTGGAGTGTGTCAAGTTTGGTGGCAGGAGAACCTCGTCTCTGCTTTTTGCAGATGATGTGGTCCTCCTAGCTTCATCCAGCTCTGACCTTCAGCTCTTGCTGGGTAGGTTTGCGGCCGAGTGTGAAGCGGCTGGGATGAGGATCAGCACCTCCAATTCTGAGACCATGGTTCTCGACTGGAAAAGGGTGGCTTGCCAACTCCGGGTCGGGGAGAGGTCCTACCTCAAGTGGAGGAGTTTAAGTATCTCGGGGTCTTGTTCACGAGTGAGGGTAGGAGAGATTGGGAGATTGACAGACAGATTGGTTCAGCGTCTGCAGTGATGCGGACGCTTAGCCGATCTGTCGTGGTGAAGAGGGAGCTGAGCCAGAAAGCCAGGCTCTCGATTTACCGGTCGATCTACACCCCAATTCTCACCTATGGTCATGAGCTTTGGGTAATGACCGAAAGAACGAGATCGCGGATACAAGCGGCCGAAATGAGTTTCCTCCGTAGGGTGGCCGGGCTCAGCCTTAGAGATAGGGTGAGGAGCTTGGACATTCGGGAGGGACTCGGAGTAGAACCGCTGCTCCTCCGGATCGAAAGGAGCCAGTTGAGGTGGTTTGGGCATCTGGTCAGGATCCCTCCTGGACGCCTCCCTGGGGAGGTGTTTCGGGCATGTCCTGCCGGCAGGAGGCCCCCGGGTCGACCCAGGACACGTTGGAGAGGTTACATCTCCAATCTGGTCCGGGAACGCCTTGGGATCCTGCCGGAGGAGCTGGTGGAGGTGGCCGGGGAGAGGATGGTCTGGAGCTCCCTAGTTGGGATGCTGCCCCCGCGACCCGGACCTGGATAAGCGGAGGAAGACGACGACGACACCATACACTAAAATGTACTATACACACACACACGCACGCACGCACGCACGCACGCACGCACGCACGCACGCACGCACACACACACACACACACACACACACACACACACACACACACAAATACTTGACTGAACAATGAAAAAGATTTAAAATACAAACTCAACTCTCCCAAAATAGTAATACTTGCTTATGAATCAAAAGTGAAAACTGTTTTCCATAATGTGCATCATCAATCAATCTTTATTTGTACAGCACCTTCCACTGCCTTTGCAGGAGCCCAAGGCGCTGAACGTAAAATACAATAAAAACACAGACAGCAATAAAAAAGAGATAAAAACAACATACATACATAAAAGCACCATACAAAATGTAAACAGGGAGCATAAAAGCATACAAGTCACATAAAAGCCAAACAATAAAAATGAGTTTTCAAACGACTCTTAAAAACATGCAGCGACGGTGACAGTTTAATATCAAGTGGAAGCTCATTCCAGAGAGAAAGAGCCAAGACCGAGGAAGCCCGATCACCTCTAGACCTGTACTTAGTTTGTGGGACAGTCAGTGTATCCATCATCATGCTTATGTAAACAGATGATGTAGACAGAGTAAAGTAATAGTCTTGCACCATTTAAGTCATGCTGTGGTGTAGAGTACACCTCAGTGGAGACTTACAAAACAAAGACCCGCATATAGGCCTCCCTCACACACATACAAGTACTTGACAGATATGAGTAAAAAAAAGTGACATAAAGAACAATGACACTAATTGTAAATAATAAATTATCCATTCCAAAATACAAATACTTTGCATATGAAAGAAAAGTTTGCGCTGCTTTCCTTAATGTGCATCATCATTCTTATGTAAACAAAGGACAATCAAGTCCTCGGCTCATAAATTTGAAGCTGTGCTGTCTTGTCCAGTACAACTCCATGTTCACACTTCCAACCAAACACCTACATGTTGTTTACATGCTGCTGTTTGCACATGTCACAACACCAAGGTGTCTTTTTGCTTGGCATCTGGAAGGCAGTCATTCCAAGGCAGAGCGTGTGAAACCATGTTGAACAACTTCCACGTTGAATCTAACAAGGACAAAGAAATGCATCCAGATAACCTTTGTTACAGAGCACTTCATTACAATATTTGTGATCAATTTCATGCCATAACTGTTAATCTTTACTACAAATGATCAGTTAAAACTTACATCATTGGTATTATCAGTACACGTGTTTAGATCTTCTCATGTCACATACCGATGGAATGGATCTTTTTTACATAGGTACTACCAAATAAATGAGTAGAGGGGCAAACAGTAAATGGCTTCTATTTCCATTAAACCATATATAGCAGTGTTTCCCAATCCTGGGTACCTGGCACCCTAATGGGTTCTCCACAATATTGCAGGGGGTCCACACACTTGTGCCTGTGATGAAGTTGTGAGGTTCTAAAGGTGATATTTTTCAAAGTAAAATTTATAAACTGCTCAGGACACAAACAATTGTACAATTAACACTGTGTATTAGAGTTACAACCCTTATGGATATATAAAATGTAGAATCATTCACTTTTGATGTGTGTGTGCGTAGGGATTGTGGTTGTAAGGTGCTTGGCTCATGTTGGACACAAACAAGAGGGTGCTTGTGGGAAAAAAGTTGTGAGCCGCTGGTCATTCATCCAGTCACTCACACATAAAAGCAGGGGTAGGGAACCCTGGTCCTGGAGAGCCACTATCTAGCACATTTTAGAGGTTTCCTTGCTTCCACACATTTGATTCACATGTTCAGCAGCTCATGAGGCTCTACAGAGGCATGTTAATCACCTGCTGATTATCACCAGGTGTGTTAATGCTGTGTAGCCTCTAACAGGGGTGGGGAACCCTGGTCCATCGAGGGCCGCTATCCAACATATTTTAGTTTCAACCCTGCATCATCACACCTGATTTCAATCAGCAGGTGATTAACAAGCTTCTGCAGAGCTGAGATGCAGAACAGGTGGATCAACCAGTGAGTCAGAAGTGTTGGAGCAAAGACGTGCAGGACACCGGCCCTCGAGGACCAGGGTTCCCCACTCTTGCTCTAAACATGCTGGGTAGCAGCTCTCCAGGACTAGGGTTTCTCACAACTCCATTAAATGCACAATAATTAACTTTTTGATTTTTTCAACATCATTTTCACTATCCCTTAAAAACAAAAAGAACACTTCCAAGCATCATATAAGGCCACAACAAAGTTTGAGTAACGTGCATGTCTGTTATCATGGATTCATGCGACTTCAGGGCTTGTTTTTGCTGACATTCAACAGATGTTTACCTGTGGTCACAACACAGCTTTTCTCTCTGTGTCTTCCTTCTGTGTTGGTCACACTGTGTTGGTTATTTTTCAAAAAAATGATGTTAGACAATAGTAACGTCACATATCAACATGCTGCCCCTGGAGTCTGCTAACAGCACTTGATGAGGGGACCAGGTGTGATGAACGAAGGCTGATGAGATGAGTGATGGTGCATGCAGGTCAGGGCATGGCAGGGTCATGACAGTCTTACCTCCGCACGCTCTGTCTTTCCTTTTGTTGGTGTGGTTCATGCGCGGCTCGCATTAACAGCCACTGCTTTCTCTTCACAAACAGTTTAAGATTTCAACATGAAATGGAAACCTGTCAGCAACGTGGGACAGTGTTTCAATTTGCGGGTAATCTGGTCTCCCTTTACCACAGCAGCCACTCAGCTATGGAGGCTGCTGGCCTACGGAGGCTCGGAGCTGGACTCTGGCAAAGGTGAACAGGATCAAACTAGTTTTGAGGAGGGAGAGCTTTGCTGCATTTTTGCTTCTGAAATAAAACGTTTCAACCAAGCACTGTATGCTTTTTACATTTTACAAGTGCGATTAAAACATTTAGTAAAAACAAACATTTTAAATTCTCACATTTTAGGGGTGGTGGGAGATGATTTAGGGGTGCTTCAGCACTCCCCAACATAGGCTAACAACGCTCATGGTGCTGATGGCAGTTTTGAATGAAATGAACAAGGTCCATGCCAAACCAACGGAAAAAAAGGTTAGAAGCAAGGTACGAAACAGAAACTGTAAAATAATTATAAGTATTAAGATGTTAAAAGTATATAAATGTCAAAAGAAAACAATACATAAGCTAAGATCTACAACCAGAGGCAGTCCTAGCTCGTTTGGTGCCCTGGGCGATCACACTTGTGATGCATTTATGCCCCAAGGCATAAAGAAGGCGAGAGCAAAAAAGCAAGTAGCCGTCGCCGCTGTAACATATGTTCTCCAAAAGACACACAGCACTACCGAAAATAAAAATGATTTTTCAATGCCTAATACTCATTTTGCCACCCTCATTGTCCAGGTCTAAAACTGCTGCTGTTTACAGCAATATGAATATCTTCATATTCTTCATGTTTTCAAGGTTTCAAGTGTTTGAAATTTAAACAAAGTGCTTGAACTGTAAGTGATAGATACTGCAGGTAGATGTGGATGTGTGTGTGTGTGTGTGTGTGTGTGTGTGTGTGTGTGTGTGTGTGTGTGTGTGTGTGTGTGTGTGTGTGTGTGTGTGTGTGTGTGTTAGTTACTTTTACATTTGCCAATAAAAAGTTAGAACAAAAAGCAGTTGTTTAATTTATCCCGTTCAAAGATGCACACACCAGCCAGAACATCTGGAGCCGTGCGGCTTTAAGCATTTTAATTTTTATTTTTTGAGAAAAACTGAAAACAATATTTATTTCATCATATTTTATTCTAGACTAACAGAATGCAATAAAAAAATACACCATCATTTCTTGAAGAGCTATTTTCGAAATCAATGTATTTCTTAATCATTTTTATTTTTACAGTAATTAAAAAAACTTGCAGTTACAACCTGCATGTTGACATGTGATTGGATGAAGGTTCCTGATTGGCCCAGCAGCTGTAGAGTTGGATTCATTACATGATTGCTTCTTGCAATATGTCACATGCAAACGCTTAGGTTTTAATGCAAAGCATCTTCAGCATCAGTAGATTTCCAAGTTCTCGATCCTCTACTATTGGTTCATCAACAGAGAAGCAGCTTTGGTCTCCACACGATTCTGTTAAAATAAGCACAAGACAATAAACATGAGCAGCAGATTATCAGAAAGTAAAGGATCCGTCTTGATGAAATGTAGATTTGGGTTCTGACACAGGCTAGCGTATGATTTATGTATTTGAACATAGATTTAATTTGCACAAATGAAGCTCTGAACAAAAGCTCCTCTCCTCTCAGCTCTGTACATACCACAACATCAACAGAAAACAGCCGAGTCAGCTGTGCTGCTATTAAAAGAGCTCAAATCCCAAAGTATTGCTGTGGAAGGCTGGCCAGTCGTCATTCTGGAGAAGCTCTGCTGAGGCGTCAGGAGATATCAGGAGATAATTAAACCCAGCTGACCCTGCAGGAGAACGAGAACCAGTAAGTGGTGGCCTGATAATTCACTTCTTGCATTTTGAGATCAGATGACTCAAATGTGATCTATAACATTTAATGCATCTGTGATTTGTTAAATGTAAAAAACAGTAAAAACCTATGGAAACAATTGGAGTTCTAGAAAATAGACGGAAAACTGAGCGTTCTGCTGTTTTGTGACCAATAAGCTGTAATATGCTGCGTTCTCTGTGACACTGAGAGCTGCTCTTTCTATTTTAGTGGTAGTTTATATTTAGAAACCTTTTCTTGGACAAACAGCTGGTGCTTGGCATGGTAAACCTAAAGGTTATCGGGATGCTGCTTTTACTCGAAGACGACACATAACAGGAATCTGAAATGAGGTGCAGAATGAGTTCATTTTGAGGAAAACTTCATTAAAGAGCAAGTCACCCCCAAATCAACCTTTTTTGCTGATAACTACATAAATGCATGTCTAATCGTGCTGCAGACATGTGTAGTCAATAATTTGGTACTTCAGTGCATCTTAGTTAAAATTTAAATATTCTGCCTAAAACTGGCAGTGTTGCGCTGTCGTCAGGTAAAAACTCTGCACTGCATTTGAATTTAAATCTGCCACCGCTATTGGCTAAGAGGTATGCTATGATGTAAACTGGTCCTTATGATGCCACGATGTCGTTGTGAGCCTGTGTGTGTGTGTATTTGTTAGCGGCTCCGCCCTCTCGGTCTGCAAGGCAACAGCATTTGTTGCATTTTTCAAACATGAAGAGGGAGTTGAGTAAGAATCTGGCAGGGGTTGACTTGCTCTTTAAATACTAAAAACTTTGCTTTTTTTGCCCTTTTCAGTGCAATTTTGGTTTCTGTTGTAAGAATTTGTTTCAAATATATTTTTTGTTTTTGTTTCAGAACTGTTAGAACTCAGATTTACATTAGAATGATTGTAGAGGGTGAGATGGATCCCAATGCGTCAGAGCCGGTGAGACTCCTGGTGTTAAACGCTCGTTTAGTAGAAACTAGGAAACTTTTAACATCTCATCCAAAATCCAAATCATCTTTCATTTAGAGTTTACTCACTTCCTGAAACATGCTTGAAGCACAACACAGTCACTGATGGGGTTGTTTATCAGGATTTTAGTTTTCATTCTTTAAACTTTGGAGGTCTATTTTGAAAGGAACCTCCTTAGATGCTAGGCTTAGCTAACTAGCTAAATTTCAGTTCTATTCAGTTTCCATTCTAGAATGTTCTTTTTTTTGTGTGTGTGTTAAACAAAGCTAATTTGCAATTTTTTACTGAAAACCTTTTATTTCTCTGATTTGAACCAAAAAGTTATTATTAGAAGAAATTTCATTCTTTGTTAATCATAGAGTAACTTTTTTTATTCTTTGTCTCTCATTTCCACTAGCTGCTGCTAGTTTTAGAGAAATGACGTTTTAATTTCTGTCAGTTCTGAGAACACATGAGAACATCATATACAGCAACTTAGTTGGTTAGCTTTAGAATTATTTTGGCGTGATACGACACCTAGACTGACCTTTTGTTACATTTTACACGAAGCTAAGCTAACTGTCGTCTTAACTCTGAAGACACCATGACTGCGTTTAATGAAGGAGAGGCATCATAATCTGATTAGGGCTTTATCTTTACAGGTGGGAAACACTGAAAAACTTTTTTTTTTTAAATCTTGTGCTTATATTTGGTCACTCAGGATTTTTCATGCAGGCTGAACATGGAAATATTCTCTGTTTTAGCTTCTGATAGAAAATAGAGGATGAAATAATTAGAAAATGCTGACAGATCTACACCGTGGTCACTTATCATTCATGGACTCACCCATCTTGAATTGTGACAGGGAAGTCTGTTGTTTTAACATTCAGGAATCAGATGAGAATGCCTCGACTAGAAGCTAAGCGTTAGCATTAGCAACTCCAACACACGGCAGAACTCCTCCAGGCTTGTGTTATTTTGGAGATGAAACATATCAATGCAAATATATTTATTAAACATGCGATCCACAGCTTGAATTAAATTTTTTGCTAAGCTAACTAGTTGCTAGTTCTTCTGTGTTTGTGTCAATAAGCATGTTTTCATTAAAACGTCACACCTTTGTTGTTGTTTTTTCTATGGACATTCTTCTGAGTTCTGTAAAGACAAGTGGACTGCTGTTTAGTGATTTTTGAAGCATCATAGACTGATTCTGATTTGTCTCATTTTAGTTTACTTAACATTTTTTGTTTGTGTTCATAAGCATGTTTTCTTAAAACATGTGAAACCTTTAATTTCATGTTTTGTGTCAGAACATTCGATCAGAATCTCTAACATAATTTGTACACATATTTAAAAAATCTAAACATGTTTTAGGAAATCCTGCCAGATATGAGCCTGGGATGGACCACCACGGTCCTGGTGGTGCCCATCGTGGTCGTCCTCACAGCTGGATTTTTCTACCTGTATGATGTAATTGTTGGTCTGCTGTCTAAAACATCCGTACGCAACAAGGTGGTCCTAATAACGGATGCTTTATCTGGGCTTGGGAAAGGTAATTAACAGAAAACTACAATAAAGCTTTGGGTGAGGACTTGATATCTCAGATGTTACGTGTTTGTGTGAAGAATGTGCAGGTGTGTTTCACAAAGGAGGAGCAAGACTGATCCTCTGTGGAAAAAGCTGGGAGAAACTTGAAGAACTTGCAGATGAATTGGCAAATTCTTCTGATCCCACCGTAGTAAGTACACTGGATGAGTGAACTGATGGAAGACTTTCACAATAAATACAAATCCAGCGCTGGAAAAGTAAAAATCTGTAGGAAATGCTTTGTATTTAATCAGTTTTGCTGCTAATATCCTATGACTCAGTTGGCACCAGAGGCAGAAGCATCCATGGCTAGCATCACAGCTGTAAGCCTTTTCTTTCCCCAGACATTCCCCCCAAAGCTCGTCCTGCTGGACTTTGATGACATGGGTAGCATGCCCGAGGTCATCGATGAGATCCTGGAATGCTACGGCTGCTTGGATATTCTCATCTTCAATAACAGCTTAAAGGTCAAAGCTCCTGCACAGAGCCTGTCTCTGGAGATGGACAGGCTTCTGATGGACAACAACTACTTCGGGCCCATCACTCTGGCTAAAGGTCACTCACTGAATGATGTAACGTTGCAATGAAACTGTTACAGCCTGATGTCTGCAGTGATGCGGGCGTTGTACCGGTCTGTCGTGGTGAAGAGAGAGCTGAGCCAGAAGGCGAAGCTCTCGATTTACCGGTCGATCTACGTTCCTACCCTCACCTATGGTCATGAGCATAGGGTAGGGTAGTGACCGAAAGAACGAGATCACGGATACAAGCGGCCGAAATGAGTTTTCTCCACACAGTGGCTGGGCTCTCTATTAGAGATAGGGTGAGAAGCTCGGTCATCCATGAGGGGCTCGGAGTAGATTCGTTGCTCCTCCGCATCGAGAGGAGCCAGTTGAGGTGGCTCGGGCATCTGGTCAGGATGCCTCCTGGACGCTTCCCTGGTGAGGTTTTCTGGGCATGTCCAACCGGGAGGAGACCTAAAGGTAGACCCAGGACACGGTGGAGGGACTGTGTCTCTCACCTGGCCAGGGAATGCTTTGGGATTCCTCCAGAGGAGCTGGCCCATGTGGCTGGGGAGAGGGAAGTCTGGGCCTCTCAACTTAGGCTACTGCCCCCGTGACCCGACTCTGGATGGATGGATGGATGGATGGATGGACGGATGGATGGAACAGTGACAGCATTGTGGTTTCCCTGTTTTAGGTGTGCTGCCCTCCATGATCTCCAGAAGAAACGGCCATCTGATTCTGGTTAACAGCATCCAAGGGAAGATAGCCATTCCTTTTCGCACAGCGTGTGAGTTCAGAGGTTGATGATGAGCAGGAAGCTGTTTGATTTTGTTCTTTCACACTAAAGATACAACAATGGGGTTAAATTTTGTGTTCCAGATTCAGCTTCCAAACATGCAGTCCAGGCTTTCTTTGATTGCCTGAGAGCTGAAGTTGAGGAATTTGGAATCTCTGTGAGCACCATCAACCACACCTTCATCTGCTGCTCAGCAGCTGGAACCACGTCAGCCTCCAAGTCCCTGCTCTGGTCACGTCAGTAACTTCTGAACACAAACATGAGACAGCTGTCTGCTGTAGGCTGAATTAGAGACTTGTCTCCCTGCAGTGTTGTTTGTCAGGAAGCCGCTTGGTGTTTCTCCGGAGGAGGCGAGCGCTGAGATCGTCAAGACTCTGAGCAACAAGAAGAAAGAGGTGCTGATTGCTCCGTCACTTCCCAAGATGGCCATCTATGCCAGATCCTTCTTCCCCAACATGTTCTTCTCAGTGATGGCTGCAGGAGTGAAGAACGACAAGATGTGAAGAACAAAGGCATCACAGAATGTTTGCTGATCAAAATGAACCAAATCAGCAGTAATGAAAGTAAAACCTTATCTTTGTGAGAATTAGAATTATTTTACTGATGGCTTGTTTGTATGGCCATGTTGTAGAGATAGTTTTAATCATTTTAAAATTGATCATTTGATACTTCTATACATTTACTGTAGAAAAAAAAACAAAAAAAACAATTTTATTGTATTTTTCTGTATTCCCAAATAAATCCAACAAATATTAGAAGGTTTCATTTTATTTACTTTGGTGCAGATTTTTCTGTGTTTCGATTAGCATTTTTGCCACAATGTATACAGTTGTAATTAGTTTTGTGACACCCATTTCTGACTAAACAAAATCATGATGTAAAGTGATGGGCACACTTTCTATTTATACAACATTAAAGGAAATATTTAGGTTTAAAGGTATTTTAGAAAATTAAAACATGCACATTTGTGTATGAAACGGTAACACAATGCTGCTGCTGTTGGAAACTGTCAGTAATTCTTTTGATTTGTTCCGTTTATTATTTTTGTGTAACTTATTTCTAAATAATATCTTTATCTTATTTTAATTACATCCAATTAGCCAGTGAGTCTGTGATGAATGAAGTGTAATTAGAAAAATATTTAAATTTAGAAATAAAGACGTTTCTGTCTTTTGTAAAGATTTTACAAAGCTTGACTTAATCCACAATGATTGAAAAAAAATAAATAAAAACATCGCATTTAAAAATCAATAACTTTAATTTAGGGGGGTATTTTATCTGTCGTAAGCATGTACGTAATTGTGTGTGTGTGTGTGTGTGTGTGTGTGTGTGTGTATTTATATATATATATTTACAAATGATTAAATGCTCAAATTGCCAACATTGAATCAGAATGAACATGGAACGTGTTAGTGGGATATGAATATGTTGGCCAAAGGTGAATAATTGTCTTGTTTTTGGCGCCACCTGGCGCTCAGCCTGCAGAACGTCCGTTCCTCAGAGACGAAGCTAATAAATGGCTTTTAAATCAACCTCTAAACTTTTGGAATTAACTCAACGGAGTTGGTCCTGGCAGAAGTCCTTCTGTTCGTTAGGCTACAGTGGATCATTTACTGTTGAACATGACCGACTCAACCGATGTTTCACCGTGTCTCCGGTCAGCAGCGGCGAAGGTGTAAACTCAATCCCGGATTTCAAGCCTGGTTCTCGTATAGATTCTTCAGGTAATACCGGGGTCCGAGTTGTGGCCTAGTGACATTTATTTCTCACAATTTTATTAAAGACAGGCAGGTAACATTTGTACCAGTCAAGTGAGAGTTTAGACATCCATAGGATGTAATGATATTCGCCCAGTTTTATTTTGCTTCTTCAGCCAAACTTCGTTTAAAGTTTTGTCATTTTTAGGTTGTTTTAAGTTTTAACAACTATGATCCAAATCTTGTAAATAGCATCTATATTTTATGTACCCTGTCACCCCCAGTAACAGTTCGGCACACATATTATAAACATACGTGTCACATATAAAAAGATTTAGGCAAACGTGCCTAGTTCTGATATAAACAGGTTTAACTCTCCTTGTGGGGTTAATCTAGGTCATTTTAGCAAAAATAGACAGAACTATCTTTCCTGTGTTAATGCCTTCCTCTCTCCACAGCGGCCAGGCAGCAAGCAGTGCTGTACTACAGGTTCACTGGAGACAAGCAGGTGGACCTGATGTCCACATTTGTTCCTGAGACCTTCAGAGGCCAACGGATCGCTGCACTGCTCTCACAGGTGAGTCCAGGTGTTATTATAAGTCTGAATGTAATTTAGGAAAGTCCTAAATATTGTCTTTTACAGGCTGCCATTGACTTTCTGTTGGAAAACAAACTAAAGGCTCACGTCTCCTGTTGGTATATAAAGAAGTACATTGCAGAACATCCTCACCAGCAGTACAAAGATCTTATCATCAGTTGATTGTATCCGATTTGTCCTCCGGAGCTCCACCTTTCACCAGCGGCACTTTGCAATCTACAAAATAATTTAAAACAGAAATGAAGAGGGGTGTTTTATTGTATAAAAACAAGAATGACATTTTAGGTGCATTTAAGAACTTATTTTCACATCGAATTGTACATTTTAGATTTGTGTCTGTACACTTTACTTTGTTTGATTGTGTGGATTAATTGAATAAAAACAACATAGTTTCTTTGCATCTAGAATAGAATAGAAACACTTTATTGTCCACCATAGTGGAAATTTTCCTTCAGCTCTCAAAAAAATGATAACTTTCATGCATACATACATTCATGTGGCACTACGTTCTATGGTTGGATTTTATCGTTTACATTGGGTAAGGGTCATCACAGCAACAAATGAGTTCTTATATTTATTTTTGCTTGCCAGAGGCACCCTACAGCTTCCAGAGCTCAAGGGTTCAAACTGACAGAAAGGTGTAGCCTTCTGCTTCAATGTTCCTTGCAGTATTCCTCGTCCTTTCAGCAGCCAATTGGGAAATAGTTTTATGTGGTCTGCCCAGGAGACAATTGGTAAGAGTTTGGCCTTAGACCTAGGCTTCTGAGTGAGCATTTCTTAAATATGTAATCAGCGTTTTCGACAAAACCGAGCCGACAGTAAGAATAAGCTCAAGTATTTAAAGTACGCCACACTTTCAACAGCTGGTTAGAAAGCAAAGCTGGTTCCACAGTAACCTCTTGTTTAAGAGACGTAATGAGCTCCTTTGTCTTGGCTATAATTTCTAGCTTGCTCTGACCACACCATGACTCCAGGGCCTTCATAAACAGTGCTTCACCCATAGAATCCAACCAGGGCCATGGCATCAGCATAAAGCTGCTTTCTGGAGTTTTCCCCTTTCAGAAATTATGTATGATTCGTCAGAAATCTGTAAAAGTGATTATCTTATCATATACTCCGATAAAATGTAAGCAATACGTCTTATTTATTTATTTATTTATTTGCTAAGCACGCCCCCTGCCCCGCAGAGCTCCGTGCAATAGGAAAGTGACGTTACAGCGCCGACCAGAACCGACCAATAGCGTTAGACAACCGCTTACTCGCTTCAAATTTAAGGAACACATCGGCTGATGCAGAGTTGATGAACTTTTCACGGACAAGTAAGTCTCTGAAATATAAAAATATGAGAACACAACATGACATGAGAATAATACTCGTAAAACAACGTGTTTTAGCTGTTTTTCGGCTACAGAAGCACATTTATAAACAGAAAGGTGACGTCGCCATCTTAAAAGTAACCGGAACAGCGGTTTTGTGTGATACGCTTGTCAGCCACTAGATGGTGCCATCCGATAAGAGAAATACTCATTGATTGCAAAAGTATCTGTATAAGAGAGAATTCACATGGTGATTTTCAACTGGCACAAAGTGAATTTCTCTGGATATTCCTTAAAATCAAACACATCCACAGTGCTGAAGTGCAAAAACATGATATAGCTATGAAAATATGTAAACACAACTTATAAGTAAAAATATAGTGTGAAGCCCCTAACTGTTCTAATCGGACACAAAGCAAAGCTACATCATACTGTTTTATTATAACCGGGATGTTGTTGGAGCAGAAATGAGCTGAAATCCTGATCCTTTACAACAGCGGTCTTCAGCCAGGTTTGTTCAAGGGCCAGAGTTTTCTCCGGCAGACACGATAAGGATGCTCTACTAAATAAATTTCAATTATAAATGTATCTAAATGTATGAATATTTGGTGTGTTAATTTTCCTTCCAAATTCTTGTTGTTTTGTTTTTGCATTTGTCAGTGTTTATGTTTATATTTCCTTTACTAACAAAAGCCACAAGGTTATTTTTCTCAAACGGAGCGTTTTATGTAACTTAATTTTACTAATTCAGCTTGTTTCTTTAATTATAATTCCCTTAGTTGGCTCTGCCTACCAACCTGGTAAATATGGTTTACTTGTAAATGTGATGCTTTCTTCTTGTGAGGGATTGTTGTGGGGACACCGCAATTATAGCAAATGATTATGCTTAAAAACATAAGAACTGCAGCAGATTAAATAAAACGGTTGAATGAGAGCTGAGTTAGTAGTAGTTTCTGACTGAAGGCAGTTTGGTTTGTTTAATTTGAACGTGTGTTTTCTCTATTCCTGATTCATTAATAACAGAGGGGGGCAGGGTGGAAGGGTCTGGCAGGCCGGACGTGGCCCACGGGCCGCCAGCTGACGTTCACTGCTGTACAACATAATCAAAAATGTGTCCATTTTGAATGTGAGTTGCTGTATGTTCATTAATGAAGTATGTGCATGAATTGGAGGTTACTGTTCTACCAACAAAATCCCATCATGATGCTCCTTTTCATTCCGTGTTTCATCTACCCGTATTACGGTTCTTTTTTAGCACAACAAAAGGTTGTTTTTACCTTGTTTTACTGACGCCACCACAATCACTGCAGCCTTCTTCAGAGCTTTTCCGCTGTTGGCAGGATCACTTCATTCTCCATTTATCTTGAGGCAGCAGAGGACGGTGCCCCCCCTCTGCTGCCTGTGCTCTCCTTGTCGATGACACAGTCCCATGCATCATCCATCGTCTCTTCATGGTTTTGTCCACGTCTCCTTATTTCTGTCGCTTTCTTAATCCATCTTTTGTATTTTTGTTGTTTGGTGTTTATGATCCTGTCCCAGTCCATTATAAGGGTTTCTCTTGTCTGTTACGGCTGATTTCTTTGTTGTACTCTTGCAGACTCTTGTGCGTCTTCGGCTTGTTTCTTTCTCACACTCTTACTATGTCCTGTTGTGCTTGTGCTGAGCTGGCATCCGGTTTCTCTTATGTATGTTTTATTGCTGAGTCTGCATGGGATTTGATAAATGACTCCACACTTGTGTCCTGCTGATATCTTGCCTTTTCCTAGTCTTTTTCTAACTGTTGTGTTGTTCTGTTGGTGTGTTTATGTTGTGTTTTTCCTTGTTGCCATTATTCTGTTATGCCTTTTAAGAATGGAAGAGTTATCACTGGTTTTGGTTCTTGTTTTCCTGAATTTCTGGTTCTTTGTTTTGGATGTTTTTACTCATTAATATTCATGATGTTCGGACACCTCACCTATTGGCTAACAGCAGCGTGACTCTTCCGCTGCCTCCATTCACTCTGCAACGCTGATGTGTTATTTCCGCTAAAACACGAGCCTGAAGGAGTTCTTCCTCGCTGCAGAGTTGCTTTTACTAATATTTAGCTTCTATTAGTATTGTTGTAATCCATTCTTCCAAGCATTAATAAAAACAAAAAGTTGTTAAATATGAGGATGGCGGTTGGCAGGAATATTTTATTTCAACACAGCCTTCACTGTCACGAGCCAAGATGCTAATTTACAGTGTGATGTAGATCTGTGTGTCTTTTTCTAATCCAAGCATTTCCTCTTCTATTTTCTGTCAGCCGCTAATGCAGAAAACAGGGCTAGAAGACTATTTTCATGTTCTGCACGCATGTGAAACTCGTATTGAGAATACTTGTATCATATTTCAAGAATAACTAGTAAAACAAGGTTCCTCGGTGAACTTGGTAGAGGCAGCTCCAGAACCTGGTGAACACTTGTTTCATCACATCCTGAAATGTAAAACCCTGGAACTGAAACAGGGTGGACTTAATTTGGTAAGAACCTGGAATTGCCTCCCGATGAGATCAGTGAGCACATCATAACTTGGATCGTTGCCGTGGAGTCGGATTAAATGGGCAGCAGCAGCCGGTCCATCTGTAGACAGAAAGCAAGCCTAATGGAGGACCTGAGCGATCAGAGATCAGCTGCTGTTAGTCAACTTTAATTGGATTTGGTTGGTTGTTTATCTTTGTTGACCTGAAGAGCTTACATTCATTTGAACAACACTTTTATTTTGTACCTTTAGTTACAATTTCAGTCCATCAGAGCCTGCAGTACTCCCAATATGAAAACACATAAGGTATCAGATAGATTTATAGTTTCTCATCATTTTTAGTATTAGAGTGACCCCCCTCCTCCTGTTGCTAGGTAATGAGAAGTTTTATCTCCAAGTAAATCAGAGTCTTTTCATTGGGACACCAGGAGGCACCAAAAGGACTCCTGAAAAACACAAGACAACTCTTTTATATTTAGATTTTTGCATCATTGACCCTGAGTGTGTATGTCTGCTTGTTCACCACTTTTATCTCCACTGTTCTACTCAGAATGGCATCAGGGCGATACAGTTCCAGTGCATTCTGGGTAAGTGAAGGCAGATTCAGGTTGAAACAGATAGCATACAGGATGCACGCTGAAGCCTTGATGAGGCAAGAGGCTGTAGCCTGCTTCAACAGTACGCTTCTCCTTGTTGTTCTGGTGCACTGTCCATTTCTTCAAACACATACGGCGCTCCCGTTGACGGTTTGTGTCCATTCACCAACGGTTCTGGTGGCATTCCTACTTCAGCCGAGTCAGCAGTCAAATACATGTCCCACATCTGCTCCGGGAGTCCCAGCTCCATCATTTTCTGCTTGATCATCAGGCTCTTCTCAATGTTGTGTCGCTTGTATTTAAACTCAATAATGGTCTTTGTGTATCTGTTCAGTGTTGTCACCGCGGAGCCCATGCAGGTGCCAAAGGAGCACCACGCCAAGCTGAAAGAGGACGGAAAAGACAGGCAAGACTCAGGAAAACATCTGCATTTGAATTTCACTGGAGAAACTAATCCAAACGCTGCTCACGCATAAGACCAGCTGTAGTCCCAAGTCTTGGGCCTCCAGTCTTCTGGTCCCATAGAGACCGCCAGGTGGAAAATGGTGGTAAACATCATGTGGGCCACCATCCCACAAAGGCCTGGGGGAGAGAGTAAAAGTCTGTCAGTATTTTAAAACCCATCTTTTTGATTTCATTATATCAGCTGTTATTTCAGTATTTTAAGCTTAAACTGGTGTATTTTATTTTCTGCCAAATAAAGTCCACACCCGCTGCTACAGGGCGATCAATGCTATGTTAATCCATAGGATGGATGCTAATGAAACTCATACAGTTACCACTGGACAAACACATGATTCAAGATGGCTGCTACTGCTAATCAACTACAGCAAAAGCACATGTCTCTAACTCAGTCAGATTTACAGCTGTTGAGCTTAAATCTGATGTTTTCAGCTGAGAGTCAGTCATCTGTCATTTATCCAGAAAACCTTAGTTTAAGGCCACAGCTAAACAACATCAAATATGGCTCTAAATGTATAGTCATGGATAAAATAACACCATCCATTCTAATCCAACAAAAACAATTCAACACCCAGACTGTGCCACTAGGGGGCGGGAGGATCCACATTTAACCCGAGCCCTAACCACATCAAAATCAAAAAGAGGAACACTCAGAGTGGTCTAAGATAAAATACCTACTTTTAATGCTGTTTACATGTTCCTCTCCGTTATTAGACCTTTAACCAACAATCAAATTTGAATGGTGACAAAAGAAAATGAAACAGATGTAGGAAAATAATGGCTCCACTATTGCTTCTGGGGTTCTAGATCAACGTTTCACAACTGGAAACGGTTCTTTGTACGGAAGCGGATTAGGGCCACAGAAAGAAGAAAAAAAAGTATAAATGATTCTGACTTTAATCTCAGAATTCTGACTTTTGACTATCCTGGGCCGCACTGACAGACTTCTGAGATTATAGTCATATTTCTGATAGACAAATTTCATTTTCCTTTTTTAAATTCAACTGGCCCTAATCCTTTTCCATACAGTGGGATGCACAAGTTTGGCCAGCCTTGTTAATTTTCATGATTTTCCTGCATAAATCGTTGCAATAGAATTTTTCATTTAAATTTATCCTATAGGAGACACACACAGTGATATTTGAGAAGTGAAACAAAGTTTATAGGATTTACAGAAAGTGCAATCAAACAAAATTAGGCAGGTGCATAAATAAATGAACTAAATATTTATAGATCCTCCTTTTGCAGAAATAACAGCCTCTAAACACTTCCTGTAGCTTCCAGTGAGAGTCTGGATTCTGGTTGAAGGTATTCTGGACCATTCTTCTTTACAAAACATCTCTAGTTCATTCGGGTCTGATGGCTTCTGAGCATGGACAGCTCTCTTTAACTCACACCACAGATGTTCAGGAGTATTCAGGTCTGGGGACGGAGATGGCCATTCCAGAATGTTCTACTTGTTCCTCTGCATGAATGCCTTAGTAGATGCTGAGCAGTGTTTAGGGTCGTTGTCTTGTTGAAAGATCCAGCCCCGGTGCAGCTTCAGCTTTGTCACTCATTCCTGGATATTGGTCTCCAGAATCTACTGATGAGTGTAATCCATGCGTCCCTCAACTTTAACAAGATTCCCGGTCCCTGTACTGGCCACACAGCCCACAGCATGATGGAACCACCACCGTGTTTTACTGTAGGTAGCAGGTGTTTCTCTTGGAATGCTGTGTTCTTGTTCCTCCATGCATAACACTCCTTGTTACGCCCAAATAACTCAGTTTTAGTTTCATCAGTCCACAGCACCTTATTCCAGATGAAGCTGGCTTGTCCAGATGTGCTTTAGCAGACCTCAGATAGTTCTGTTTGTGCTGTGGGTGGAGAAAAGGCTTCCTCTTCATCACTCTCACATGCAGCATCTCCTTGTCTAAAATGCACCGAATAGGTGAACGATGCACAGTGACTCCATCTGCAGCAAGATGATGTTGTAGGTCTTTGGTGCTGGTCTGTGGGTTGACTCTGACTGTTCTCACCATTCTTCACTTCTGTTTCTCCCAGATTGTTGAGGGGCGTCGACCACACGACTGGAAGGGGCGTCGACCACACGACTGGAAGGGGCGTCGATCACAGGACTGGAAGGGACGTCGACCTTTGGAGTGGAGGGGTCGACTTCTGGAGTGGAGGGGTCGACTTCCGGACACGAGGAGGCGTCGACTTCTGGACACGAGGAGGCGTTGACTTCTGGACACGAGGGGGCATCAACTTCTGGACACGAGGGGGCGTCGTGCTCAGGGCTGGAGGCGTCAACCTCCGTTGACTTCTGGTCCGGAGGCGTCGACTTCTGGTCCGTCGACTTCTGGACCGTCGACTTCTGGAGTGGTGGTGCGGAACCGGGTGCTGACTGAACTGGTGGCGCAGGTAACTGGGAAAGCAGGGTGGATAGAATGTCCAGCTGGAGCTCCTGGAGACTGAGGCTCTGATGGAGTTGGGCCAGCTCAGCTCGGAGACCGGCGAGCACTGTTGGGTGGACTGCGGGCTCAATCCTTTGGCCTAGAGAGGAAGGAGCTGCTGACTGGACTGAAACCTTCTCCTGGTGATTCGGGGGAGGATAGGGTGTCCAGCTGGAACTCCTGGAGGCTGACGAGCTGATGGATTCGGCCCAGCTCCGCTTGGAGGCCGGCGAGCTCCGTCTGATGGTCTGTAGGCGTGGTCCCTCCGCCTGCAGATGACGGAGGTGCTGATTGGACCGGAGACGAGACCGCTGATCTGACGGGAGGCAGGCCCAAGCTGGCGCGCCGAGCCGGGGCAGCGGCAAGCTCGCAGCTCTGTCCTGGGACAAGGGGTGACGGTGGAGCCCGGCATCCTTCCCAATGCTGTGGGCCAGCTCCGGGGGAGCACACAGCCAGTCTGGTGCCCACGTAGCAGGAGCGGTCTGGCTGTGTCTCCTGGTCCAACCTCTCATCTGGCTCCTGGGAGGGTGGAGGGGATCGTCGCGGCCGGGGTTCGGCGACGGCGTCTGCGGCGAGGCAACGCCAGAGGAGGAGAAGCTGGCCGATGGTCCGAGGTGAGGAACTGAAGCAGGCACTCCCAGGGAGAACCTCCCCGCTTGATCCTTTAGAGCAGGGGTCGGCAACCTGTTCCCATCAAAGAGCCATTATTACCCGTTTCCCACAGTAAAGAAAACACTGGGAGCCACAGCAGCTGCGGGGTTGTGGGCGGGGCCTACCCTCAGACAGCAGAGCGCTGCTCACAACAGGTGACAGCAGCTGGTACCGGCCGCTCGTGTACGTCAAAGTTATCTTTCATAAGAAGATAATCAATAAAACGATTTATATAAAGTGGATCCAGAAGTTGTAGCCCGTCTCTGCCGACAATATTTGATATTTTTCACCCTGTTGGTGGTTTTACTGAGCAGGTGCCACTTTTGTCATACGTTTCTTTTTAAAATATGTTTAGACTGTTCAGAATACAAATCCAGGCTCTGTCATGTTTGATTGTTGTAATGAAACTTTGTAGGTGGGGAAGGTCAGAAAAGGATCCGATCAATTTGTTTTTCCCTCATTTACAGTGACGGAAATAACAGTGCAGTGCGCCTGGCTCTGGTGTTGATCAAGTTAAATTATATCTCTTTGCAACAATTTTCACAAGAAAACAGAACAGTTAAAAGCAGGGCTTGTGTTGACCGGATAGTTCCCGTATTTGGCCGTTTATTTTGACGGAGAAAGAATAGAAAGAATTACCCCGACGCATGCAGACGAACTGACATTTTATTCTACGCACATCGCAGATGTAGCTAAATCACTCAAGAAAAGATTCCCATCTGAACATCTGAGCTGGACACCGCTCAGCGCAGCTCCCTGTCAGCGCGTACGTATGGTGCACAGTGAGCTGAAGATGTGGAGAGGGGCTTGGAGCGCGTCGCAGAACCAGAGCACATGCAGGAAGATTCCTCCGACTGAAGCGAGACTTGTCACTTAGAAAATGTTCCCTGATTATGAAACTTTGGCTGAATAGTGCTTGTTCCTGTCTCCAATGTGGCGACACATCCAGGAGCTGAGGAGAATCCCAGAATCTGACATTCTCCAGCTCAGAAAGCGCCGATATGATTACGCACAAGCGTGACGCGTCAACCCGGTCTCACAGTAAGACCGGGTTGGACCTGTTCAGGTTTACGCAGACAATCTTTACATTTAGAATTGGCTTACAGATGTAAAATGTATGCAGTAAAATATAAAGCATTTTATTTAAATATCCATTCATTATTTTACAAGCACAGAGAGCCGCATCAGATGGATGGAAGAGCCGCATGCGGCTCCAGAGCCGCGAGTTGCCAACCCCCGCTTTAGAAGGTCGGTTCATTCTGTCAGACGTGCTGGTGAGCGAAGCGGAGGTGAGGATCCACACGCAGGTGAAGAAAGTAGGCAGGCAGACACGAACGATCAAAGGCTTTAATAATGAACACGCTGACACAAACAATGAACCAAATAGAGACACAGAACTGGAGGGGTTTAAATACATGAGGGCTGGGAGCTTGGGTGATTGGAAAACGAGAGGCAGGTGGGAGCAATTAACAGAGACACATGACAGAACAGAATGGAGAGACAAGACAGGGTGTGACACGCTGTTTTTGAAAACATCTTTTCTTTTTTATCTATTTTTGTCACTCCTGCAGCATTGGTAAATACTTGTGAATCCAACGTTTCCAAAAGGGATCTTAGGGGTACTGGATTTGGCTTCTTCTGACATAGACATCATTTTTGTCAGAAAGTCCAGGTGAGAGAACTGGATTTCCCTTCAGAAGGAGCAAGTGGTTGGGTGTTAACGGTTCAAGGTCACTGGGATCCGCTGACAGTTTTGTGATGGGACGATCATTTAGTGTTGCCTCAGCTTCACACAGAACAGAGTGGAATCCTTTATCGTATAACGTTTGTCGACAGAGCACTGAGCACAAAACCAGTTTCATTTGAACAAGGAGCTTCAAAACACCACCAAAACCCAGAAGGTGTGTTAAAACTCCACATGTTCTCCCTCTGTGGCATGGCCTTTTCACATGTTTTCATTATTTAAAGAGGCTAGCGCTTGTCGCAGTTATTTCTCTCCTCCTACGAAATTGATGCCATTGTTTCAGCTCA